CATCGTCCAACTGGGGTGGCTCCCCCACCAGCCTCTCCTCAATGCCTTTGAGGGCCGGAAACGGAGCCCCCACCACCCCCCACTCACCCCAGATTCAGTTTCAAGCACACAAGGCCACAATGCTGCTCACCTCCCCCGTCTCTGTCCTCTGGACAGCAGGTGTCTCCCCTCCCCACCAAGAGCCTTCTGCCACAGGACAGCCCCGTGACTTCCAGACACGGCAGGTGAGGCAGTTTCCCCCAGGGCCTCAGACTGCACCTGGGAAGGCCCTACAGCTCGTGAGGGGGTCCGGGGTCCACCTGCCTGCCTCCCCTCCCCTCGCCCATGGGTCTGCAGCCCCAGTGACCCTCATGTTCCCCATTCCCTAATCCCCATCTCAGGGCGCCTTTCCTCCTGCCAGCAATGCCCGCACCCCCTTCCTCACAGGCACAGGGCTCCATGCTTCTCCCCAGTCAAGCCCGCAGCCAAATATCGCTCTTCCAAGAACGTTCCCTGCCCGCCCGGCTCAGGCAGCCCCAATCCTCAGTCACCCGCCCTTGGTCTCAGCCCTTCTTCTCAGCCCTTCTCTGCACAGGGATTCTCTTGTACTGTCTTCTTTGCTCCTCTGCCTGTTATCTGTCTCCCGCCAGCTAGAATAAAAGCTCCCTGAGGGCAGGAAGCTGACCTTGCCCTCCGCTGCACACCCAGCATCTAGGGCAGCACCTGAGCCATTTTCAGTGATGAGCAAACATTTGCTGACCCGCTCCCTAAGCAGTTGGCTTTCTCCCTGGTGAAAGTGGGTTAGCACAGGCTGAGCCCTGCCATCCTTCAAGGCCTACACAGAAGGCACAGAACTATTTAAAACACGTCCAACAACTGGAATGAGTTCGTAATGTCCACAGGCAGCTCATACACGGTGAGAGCTCTGAATACACAGCCGAGCTGCCGGAGGTCAGGATTTGAATTGTCCTTTTTCAAAATCCAACCCCATATACACCTTGCTGTAAACTCAGCACCCAAAGGTGGGGGCGGGGGACGCTGCTTTCTGGGAGGAGGCCCGCACTGTGCACCTCCTATGTGCAGGCAAGGGGTGAAGACATTTCTGTCCCTATTAGAGGTCGAGTGCCCTGGGTGGGGCATCTCACTGGTGGTCACCGCCTGAACCCCCAGGGCTCGACACAAGGTCTACGAGTAGTGGGTGCTTGGTATTCAGGCCGGATGGATTCAACAGTGCCCCAAAGCTTCAGTCTCAGGCTTCTCACCCTCAGGGCACCAAGAGGGCTTGGCGAAGCAGGCTGTCATGGGACACCTGCTGATCCCAAATCCCTGTTGTTCCCTCCTAGACCCCCTGACTCTGTGTATCTCAGTTCCCAGCCTCTGCCCTACTAACACTGTGTACTATATCATTCTTTTTTCTCTTTTGTGGGGTCCTGGGCATCATAGGACATTTAGCAGGGTCCCAGGCTCCTCCCCACTAGATGCTAGTAGTAATTAGGGGAGAGTTGCAACAACGAAAAATGGGGGGGGGGGGGGGGGGGGCAGAGAGCCCCCAATAAGTGTTTCCAGTTTCTCACCAAGCGGCCAGTCTGGAAACAGTGGCCTGAGTCTCCTCTGCCCCAACAGCGTTCAGCCTTCTGATCACCAAATGGGTCAACGGCCACTGCGGTCGGGCCACACTCTCTGGCCTCCTCACCTGGACAGCTGAGCCCCAGCCCAGTCCCAGAGCCTCTTCCCGGCCAGGTGATGCCCTCACCATTTTCCAGCTTCCTCAGCCCCTCTCCGGAGATCCTGTCCCTTTAACTTCAGCTGAACCCGCTCCAGGACCAGGTGTCTGCCTGCAGGGGCCCTGGCCTCTCCTGCCGGACACAGGTGGTGCCCCCCCCCCCGCCCCCCGCTGTCCTCCTTGGGGAGGGGGAGGGGAGCAATGGAACACGTGTGGAACTCTTACTGGGTGGGGGGCGCTGCTCATGTGATCCCAACTACTGCCCCAAGACTCAAGCATTCGCTCGCCCCCATTCTACAGATGCGGCCACGGAGGCGAATGCCACGCGCGCAGGACACGCGGCCAGCCGTGGTGGGTTCCAAACCCCGACGGCGGACCCCAAGACCCCAAGGCCAGCGTCGGACCACTGCGCCCACAGCCCTTGTTTGGGGACGGGGTCGCCCGCCTCGGCTGCAGGGACGGCCCGAGCCAGGAGGCGCCCACCTCTGGGCCGGGGGGGCGGGGCGGGCATCCTGGCCGCCCCGCAGCGGCGGAGGGCAGGGCGCGGGCTCCCGGGCGCGGCCCCC